TGATTAAATCTTTCTGCAATATTAGCTTAATTAACAAGTGGAGAATATGTAATATTAAATATCAATTCTACGACGTATTCAGCTCCAAAATATCTTTAATATAAAAAGTTCTTTTACGTTGTTGGTCTTTTTTAATATGATTTTGTTCCAAATGAGACGCGATACCTGAAAAATTATCTTCTCGGGAGGTATTTTCACTGAAACAGGTATCGTCCGTAATTGTTGAATTGAAATCATTAAAACAGTTCTGAAGATTTTTATTTGGCATCATGGCGAATTCTTCCTCGCCATTTGCAGCAATAGTAGAATTTTTTTGGTGTTCTCTGTGATCAGACAAGCTTGATCTTTTGTTTATTGGGGTCTTTGAGGACTTCCTTAATATCCTGTTGATGGAGGACACAGATGGTAACGAATCTTGAGGACATATACCTTCGAAGAGTAATTTTTCTCGTATTTCCCATGCAAACAGAGATGAATTGTTGTCTTTATATTGGCGAATTTTCGATATCACCAAAGGCGTGGATACCCTGGGTTTGCTTCCACCTGAAACAAAATTACAACATAAATTCGCTGAATCTAATTGTCTCTATAATGAAGTACCTAAATGCATGGCTGCCAACTTTCTGCACTTTTTGTTAAAATTTATTCTGGTGGTAGCTAAGTTAATGCTTTAATGTGTAATTTTTATTCTTTTAAACTTAATTATTTACAAAAACAGTAGAAGTTGGCAGAGCTACCTAAATGCAAGCCTGCCAACTACTACTAATTATGCAAAATATTTTATAGAAAGGTAGACATTTAAAAATAGTAGAATTCAAAAATTTTAGTTGTTTAGCTAACATTTTAAAAGCCTCATCCCGAAAGGGCTGGGACAAAGTACCGTTGCATATGAATTTTTAAATCATTTATGTATAGTGGTGTGGAAAATAAGTTTAAATCATTGAAAAATAATACATTAAAACACGATTATAGTTACCACTGGAATACATTTTTACAAAAAGCGTTGAAAGTTGGCAATTCTAAATGTTTTACAAAAATTATTAATGTGCAGTGGCGTGGAAAATAAGTTTAAATGAATAAAAAAAAATACGCTACACTAACTTAGGTACCACTAGAAAAAATTTTACAAAAGGGCTATAAAATTGGCAGCCTTGTTTAATGTAACAACTTTTGAATTATGATACTTCAGCAGAGCTGAGTGTGGTGTCAAAACACAACCAATATCATACCTGCCAACTCTTCGGATTTTGCGGAAGATTTTATTTTTATATTTAAAGTGGTAGTAAATATATACTATTTTTTCTTTTATAAACTTAATTTTTAAATGATTTTGATAACCACTATTCTTTCAAAAATTAAGCACATATATTAATATGCGGTACTATCATGGTAGTCAACTTAAGTCTTTTCAAATGCAACGTATTTGTTTGCTTAAAATTTAAGTTTTAATTCCATTTTAATACCACTGGAAAAAATAATAATGGAAGGGATTAAAAGTTGGCAGGTATGCAATAAGATTAAATGATTGCTAAAATTACTCCAAAAAAATATATCTTCAGTTGAGCACCTTTCATCCGAA